GGGGGGGGGGGGGGGGGGGGGGGGGGGGGGGGGGGGTATGGAATGTGGTGTGTGTGACACACTCACGGTCGCCCCCGCCGCCCTTTGGCGGGCCGGCTTTGTCTGTGACGGAGAAGACCCCCACCACGCTCACACGGGCGCCGGGGAAGACCTGATGGACACACACATACACACATGGATGGATGGATGGAGAGAGAGGGTGCGGTGTGTTGTGGTGTGGTGTGTGAATGGGGGTGGGTCAACGCACCAGGTCGCAGAGGTAGTTGTTGGCGCACAGGCGGATGTTGCGGGGCAGCTCACCCGTCGGCACCTGACCCGTGGGTGGATGGAGATAGATGTGGACGCACACCGCACACACAGATCCGGGATGGATGGAACAGCCGTTTGTGTGTTTGTGTGGGGGTTTGTGTCAGTGTGTGTGTGGGGGGGGTGAGGCGGCACGGACGGACGTCTTCTGGGAGCTCCTGCATCTTGAGGTACTGGATGTCCTGATACTCACACTCGTCCGGAACCTTCAGAAACGGATCCTGTGTGCCAACACACACACATCCATCCATCCCTCTCTCTCTCTCTCTCTCGGTGAAATTCCTTTCTCACCAGTGGGCATTTCTCGGCATGGTCGCCAGCGTCACGCCCCATCCTGGCCTCACAAACACGGGGAATCTGCACGATGCCCTGATCCATACCTACCGGCACACACACAGGCAAGATGTGGGCCGCCAGGTGTGTGTGTGGTGGGGTGTGTGGCAGATGGTACGCAGGTGGATCTTCTTGACGGCCTTGCACCCGCTGCACACGAGCTTGAGGATGCGCGTCTTGTGCTGCGGCTTGCTCACGGACGTGATGATGCCTGACACACACACACACACACACACAAACACACGCATCCGCCCATCCGCCCGTCCACCCACCCACACACACACATCTGCGTACCTGACACAAACACCATCTTCTCGGTGTCGTCCGTGAGCTCCAGCCGCCGCATGGGCTGCGCGTCCCTGTCGTTGGTCAGCTGCAGCTGGATGTACGGCAGCGACACCGCAGGAGCCGCAGCCGCCTCCCCGCCCTCTTCCCCCTCCTCAGCCATCTGCTGCCCCCCCCGCAACAACTCCTCAGCTACTGCACACACACACACACGAAGGGTGCGGGTAGTGGGGAGGGGTGGTGGCGTTTGGTCACGGACCTTACCTTGTTTGACGGCTTTCTCGCATTGGGGAAGGTACGTGAGCGGCCGCTCGCGCAGCGCACCGAACACTTGGCGACCCAGCTTCAGCTCCTCTATCTGCCAGTGCCAGCCACACACACACACACATCATGCCACATCCCACATCCATCCATCAGGAAACATCGGGACTCTTCTCCCACCTCGTCGCCGGCGTTGACGATGTCCATCATGTCCATCTTGAGGAAGTAGTTGCCGCGCTCTATGTTGGCCTTGAGCTGGTCGCGGTACACGAACGTCTGCCCGCTCTTGTGCTGCCGGATCAGCTGACCCATGAACTTGCACACCGTTTCGGGGTCCAACTCGCCCTCCTCGTCCATGCCCTCCCCACCCCCAGGGCCATCCGCCCAGCGGCCACCGAAATGCATGCCATCGCCGTCCTCGTCCATCATTTTTTGCGACTACTAGATTTTGCGATTTGACCCCCACGAGATTTACACACAGATTTACGGGGACACGGAGAGGGATGAATTCGCTTGTTTGGCTTTGTTTTGGCGTCTGCACTGCGGCCCTTGTGGACTGCGCCACCCTCAGGAGGGCCATGGTGGAGCAGCCCATCATCTCTTTTGACCCGGCCAAAACGTCCCAGGACCAGGTGAGGTGAGATCACTGAGATGTCGACACAGACGGGAGAACTGCATGCCAGCAACACGAGCCAGTTGCACTGCCTGCAGGGCGCCTCTGAGTACGCTGATGACGCCAACTGGATGAGGGACCCCAGTGGGAACGCGACGATGCCAAACAGGCCTCCAGAGTATCGGTAAGGTCCAGCTGTCTGTCTGTCTGCCTACTCGGCATGGTGTGTCTGCCCCTTGTGTGTTGTGTTGTGTTGCGTCTCAGCGCGTCCTGGGAGGACTGCGGCGGCGTGGGGGCGTCCAAGACGGAGAAGATGAGGCAGATATCTGCGGCCGTCAACGGCTTTGCGCCTTCGATGCCGTTCCGCAAAAATGCCGCTCAGGACTGCGGCAAAGTTGACGCCAGGTGGGGTGCGTCGGATACGTTGAATATATGACGGTCGAGTGATGGGATGCCTGTGTTGATGTGATGTGTGTCAGCTCCCCAACCGGCGGCAAGCACCCTACTGTGGACGCCATTGGCCCTGAGGGCGTCCCGCCTGCAAATCCTTCAGAGGAATAGCTAGCAGGGAGGGATGGGTGGACGGATGGTGTGCATAAGGTTTGGTTTAGATGTCCATGATCGCAAAGAGGACGGGTGAACACTGGTGGCTTCATGCACTCACTTCAACGAGGGTGTAGCAGTGTCCGTCTTCCATCCATGCGGCCAGCCAGCCCATTCATTTCACCTTACAGAAACGAACGGACCCGGCAGCCAAGCCGATACGCAACAAAACACCAGACAGGCAGGCAGACAGACAGACAGCAACCGCAACCCACCACCAACACCAACACCGACCCCCACAATCTCTTGTCAACAACCACAGGAGCATGTAGGACTCTGTCGTAAGAAACCAAACACCTCTGTCTTCACCGCACCCTCTCTCACACACGCCCTCACACACACACACAGATGCACAGACGCACACAAAAAGCATTAGAGATAAAAGCCTCGACGCAAAACAACAACACGACAACACAACACATGGATGGATGGCATGTGTGGATGGGATGGATGTACCAGTATGTATCTATCTGATGAAGGGGACGACAGTTAGTGGAGTGAATTGCACAGTGTTTTGATTGATCAAAAACGGACCTGACTACTATCTAGTATCTTTCTTTCTCTCTGTCAATCATCTAGTAAGTCTGTCTGCGACACACGGATGGACACCACACATCACCACACCACGTCACACGACAGGCAGGAACCATGCAACACCACCACCACCAACGACACGGCCCATTTTTTGGCCGCTGGCTGAGCTGCCCTGCTCCTACACATGCACCGCTCTGCACTCCCCATCCATCCCCATCTCCATCGCCATCGCCAATCCCTGCCCTCTCTCCCGCTCCGCCCGCTCCCGGTCCTCCTCTTGGTTGACCATCCGGATGAGCGCCACAATCGCGCTCGCAGCCGCAGCGGCATCCACCACTATGTCCAGCGGGGCGCACACCACCCCCTGCCCGTCCTCCCCGGCCCACTCCGACGCGAACCGAGGGCCCAGCTCCTCGAGGGTGCGCTGCACATCGCACTGGGTGGGGACGTCACGCTCGCGGTCGGTGTCCATGGGACCGTCGCCCACCTCGGACGCCTCGGCGGTGTCTGGCAGGGGCTGTTGGTGGTGGTCGCTGCCGGCGCTGCTGCTGCTGGCGTCTGTGTCTCCGGCGATGTCAGAGGGCATCTTGTTGTCCCTCATGTCTTGCAGGATGCATTTGAGCTGAGGGGGGGAGGAGGTGACCGACGAGAGGCAGTCGGACGACGAGCAGGTCAGCGGGGGGCTGCCTTTCAGGGAGGCGGATGACCCGAACGTCGTGCTCATCGATGCCATGCACTTGGGCTTCCGCCACGCGCCGCCAGCCTGCACACAGCACACCACAGGTGACACATCGTCTTGATGGGATGGATGTCTTTGCCTTCGCGCTTTTTCTGGCGCACCTGACAGGTTCTGCTGGCGATAGATGGGTCAGGAGACATGGTCGCCGTTGTCCCAGGGGAGTCGTTCTTGGCCACCACGCCCCCCATCCGCCCCTTCTCCACATCCAGCGGGCCCCACTCAGCACCATCGGCATTGCTATCCCCCTTCAGCCGCCCCTCACTGCGTGTGCTGCGGCCAGTGAGCTCCTGGCAGCTGGCCGCAGGGTCAGGAATCCCCGACGGGCAATGGTCGTCCACGTCACTCCCACTGGCATCGCTTTTGTTGCTGCCGCCCCCGCCCTCCCCCTCTCCCTCTCCCTCGTCATACGTGTCAATGGCCAGCTCTGGCAGCACCAGTGCGTGCAGCCGCGGGCGTGTGGGCAGGTAGGAGGGAGGGGTGGGGGGCGCTGAGGAAGAGATGTCGGCTGCAGGGATGGTGGATGTGCTGGGCGAGAGGGGCACCACACACACTGGCCGCGGCCCTCCTGTTCCATGATCGTGGTCATCGTGGTGATGGTGGATGAGGCTCACGCCGGACGACCCCTCGTCACTCCCGCGTTCGTTCACACCTTCCGTGGCCTTGGAAGAGTCGTCGCTCGCCGGCTTGTCCTCCTCCTCCCGCTGCTTCTTCTTGTTGTCCTTCTGCAGCAGCAGCAGCTGCGACAGCACCGTGTGGGCCTGTGCCGCCGTCCATCGGTCGTCTCGCTTGAGCTGCTGCAGCCCCACCATCACCGGCACCACACCGGTGAGCGGCGCGGGCAGCCGCAGGTTGTGCGACGGGGGGACGGCTGGCGGCGCTGATGCTGGGCCGAGAGGGGGTGTGGCGGGGGGTGTGGATGGGAGGGTGAAGAGAAGCTGAGTGATGCGGAAGATGACCTCTCCGAGCGCCCATGCGTCGTCTGCTTTGGACGCAAAGTAGGGCGGCCGGTTCACGGGGGTGCCCGACATGGTGTGCAGACGCTGCGCCACATCCTGCTCGGGCGAAATGTAACCTGTCCCAACAAAATGGACAGCGCACAGACAAACATTATGTCACATGAGACGCAGTGGTGCACTGACCGATCTGACTGACCTGCCGTGGCGTTGCCTTCGAACGGTTGGCCCTCCTCGACAAGGCCGTCGAAGTCCGTCAGCTCAACGTGGTAAGTCCAGCCCGTCTCGCCCGAGGGGGTGGTGGTGGAGGCAGAGGGGGACGGCGGCGGGCCAGTCACGTCGAACAGGAAGTTCTCCAGCTTCAGGTCCGTGTGCACCAGGCCACGACCCCCTGCAAACCACAAAGAGTCATCTCGTGTTTGTGGCATCGGTCCCCTCTCTCAGCTTACGTGTGGTGGCTGTCTTGCCCTTGCTGTCCCTTCTCCCAACACCGCAAGGCACTTTGCCGTCGTGCTGGCGCGGCACCGGCCGATTGGCGTCGTGAAGGGCCCTGACGGACCGGCAGATCTGCTCGAGCAGGTGAATGGCCTTGGACGGGTTCTGCTGCAGATCCCGTCGGAAGGCCCGGCAGTGGGGTGAGAACAGCAAGTGGCGGAGGTCGCCATGACGCCGACGGTATATCGCAAGACCTACAACAAGAAAAGGTGAGAAGGTAGGATGAGCGGCCTCATGTGTCTTGTCTGCCTGGAGCTGACCTTTCATCTCGCAAGCCAGCCAGGCCTCCGGCCTCGCCATGCCCGGCAGCCCCTCGAGCGGCCCGTGTGGCGCCACCATGGCCATGGCACGGGCAAACAGCCGCTCCAGCCCATACTTGGACGACTGCACCAGGTACTGCGGCGCATCGTGTCGGTCATGGTGCACCGTCACGCCGTTGCTCTTGATGGCCACGAGCTCCACAAACACGCGGCCGATCTTGCAGTAGCCCTCGACACTGGCCAGGGGCGGCGGGGGCGGCACCGGGACCGACATGTGCGTGGGCGACACGGGCGAAGAGAATGATGTCGGCGTGCGGTCGAGCAGCTGGCACCCTCCCGGCTGCTCGTCCTCGTCTGTGTCGACCTCGATGCCCTTCCCACCGCATATACGCTTGGCCACCCATCTGAGCCTGCTGCTGGTCTTGCTGCGCGGCGTCACGACGCTCATCTGCTGCAGCAGCGCGTCCCCATTGCACGACGGCGGGCGGCTGGGGGGCGACAACGGCGGCACAGAGCCAGGGGGGGCCGACGCGATGGTGTACTTGGTGTCCGAGCGGATGATCTCGAATGGCGAGGGGCACGACGGCCGCCGCTTGTCCATCTGGGCAGAGGGGGCGAGGGTGAGCAGATGCAGGTGGCGGGAGGCATCGCGGAACAGCAGATAATCCTGCGCGCTGTGGGTCTCGAAACCTGCACACGATGACAACACAACCACCTCAGAAGGTCATCTATCTGTGCAGGTCAGGTGGTGCGGCTGGCTGCATGGCCGTTTTGTTTTACACACCGGGTAGAAAGGCGAAGTATTTGAGTTTCTTGGACACGGCGAGTGGCACGACGGTGGGATGGGCACGGGAACGCAGAAACTGCAGCGAACGCCGCACTGTCCTCAACAAATCAGACCGACGCACACACCTGACACAACGCACACAAACACACACACACCGACACGAGCCCATCTGCCGGTCCCCGCCGTCCGCCCTCCTCCTTTGTGTGTGTACCTGTCGCCTTGTGTCGTTTCGTACTCACAAATGGTATTGACGAGCCTCTCTGCCGCCGACTCGTCGTCGAACTTTTCTGACGACTTGAGGGCGGCGGGCCTCCTCTCTGTCCACCGCAGCATGGCGCTTACGACGCTCACTCGAAACTCATTTCATCACCAGATCATCTAAAAAATGCCACATCTTCCACACGCCTTACACTGTACGGCGCGCCGAAACCCTTTAACCCAAAAGCCTTCACTCAGGCGAGGAGCAACAAAGAGCACGCCACAGCCGCATCTACGATCGCAACCGCGAATCTGCCTTCCCTCGTCGTATCTGAGGCTCATCCAACGTGTCCGTCCCTCTGTCATCGCATCCCGCTCAAGATGTCTTTGCTGTTGAGGCTGTGCGCGGCCCTGTGCCTCTTGCTGAGCCTTGCCTCAGCCTTCACGGCCGTCAGATACGTCCGCGTCGGCCCCTCCTCCCCCCTCACCCGCACCAACGCTCTCTCCTTTGAAGGCAGGAGCGCCGTCGACACCGTCAAACAGGTGAGGTGGGGAGGGGAGGTAGTGGGCTGGGCACCGCAGCACAGATAGATGAAGGCGCACCAGAGACAGCCAGATCTGTACGTTGGCTCGTCTGTCTGTCGGTTGCGGGTGGCGCTTGGTGTGTGCAGGTGCTGAAGGAGTCTCGGCAGATGATCCCTGCTAAGCGGTTGGCGCCTGTTGGTGAGGTGGACGTGGAAGCGGCCAAGGAGGCCAGGACCAAGGCGTTGCTCGCGGCGTATCTCAAGATCAAGACCAAGTGACTGACGATGTATGACGCGTGGCTGGTGTGGCTGTCTGGCTGGCTGTGGATGGAGGGAGAGAGACAGGAGACGGAGAGAGATGGGCATTTTGACGCATCTCTTACCTTATGCGGTCTGTGAAATGAAGCTTGCTGACTTACTGACTGACTCGCTCTGTGTCTGATTGACTCGATGGGCGGGGTGTGGTTGGGGGTGGATTGCCGTCATTTGTGAGATCTGGCGGGTCCTGTCTGGTTTTCCTTGGTCTGGTCTGCTCTGCCCTTTGGTCTGGTGTGTCCTCTGGTGTGCGTGGACCACACGCTGCTGCGGAGATCTGTACACAGATTTGCCCAGCAGCGTGAGGGCGGCATTCGTCAGAGGCGCAAAAGACGAAAGGCGAGCGGATGGCCGTGGGTGGTATGTTCATAGCGTCCGTGAGTGGAGTGTTCGTCCCGTGTTCTTGTCGAGTCGAGGCACATGTGCCGCTGCTGGGTGAGATGGATGCAGGTGTGATCCACGCACACCGCCTCTATCTCTCCCGCACTGCACGCACGCCTGAGATTCGGGGGATGCGGACGACAACAGCGAGGCCAGGCCTGTATGACTGACTCTGCTGCTCACACTCACCACGTACTCGCCTACGACACCAAGTGTACGTCTTCTTAGAACGGTTTTGTCCACTTATGCGATGCTCATTGGGCGGACACATTGCAGACGCCTCACTCTAGTGCATGTGATCTCAATGAATGACCACCCCCGATAGCCCCTGCGCATACACATGGAGGACATGCAGACGCCTCATCGCGAAACTGGGAAAAGGCGCGATCTACTGGCCGTTAGAACCTCTGCGAGCTTAGCTGTAAGGAGATCCCCAAAGGCGCAGCAAACGAAAAAAAGCGTCCCCCCCGCACGGCGGTGTCCCATACAATCGTTTGCTGTCGATGCGTGCGCTGAAAGAGCGAGGCGGCACGCTGCGGGACAACCTGCGGCAGAGATGGGCTGAGAGAAAGCAGGCCTGCTCGGGCGCGGCCTGTCTGCCCATGCGGCCCGCGATGCTGGACGATGGCGACTCCTGGATGGGGTCTGACGTGTTGGAAGAGGCCAAGGGATGCGATCGCCTCGACGCGCTGCTCGCCAGGCCGATTGCAGAGGTGAGGCGATAGATGGGCGGCACAGAGGGTCTAAGACACACACACAAGGCGGCTGGGGCCGGGGGAGTGAGGCAGACAGGCAGAGAGGCAGGGGTGCATTCTAACGGCTGTGTGTGACTCGATGTGACAATCACGTGTGTGCGCGCGTCTGTGTGTCAGGTCATCGATGATTCCAATCCGTCCCTCCTCATGCTGGAAGAGACCGCCACCTTCCAGGACCTCACACGCGCCCTCATCCCCCTCCCACCACCGCCCCCTCCCAATCCACCCGGTGGACCCACACACAACCACAACCACCCCTCCGACGTCACACCAAAGGGAAGGAGCCTTTCCCTGCCAGGCATGAACCTCAAGGCGCCGAGGCAGCTGGCCCACCTGCTGACCAAGAATGTGACCAAGAAGCTGGTCAAGGGCTGGAGGTACCTCAAGAAGGGGCCTGCAGCGGGCGCTAGGATGGAGGCGATGGGCAGGGGGGGCTGTGGCGACGGAGGCAGTGGTGGTATGGCAGAGGGCGCGGTGATTGTCCATCGGCGGCGGAAGTGGTGTGGGCTGATGCGCGCGCCGCCCCACTACTCGTATGTCGAGCTGCAGGTGCGCGGATCTTAAGGAGAGGCAAACGGTGTACGGGGCTCATGGTGTGTGTGTGTGTGTGTGTGTTGTGGCAGGACATCATACGTTCCGTCAATCAGATCGCCCGAGTGCAGCAGGAGCTGCCGGATGGGGTGAGTGAGCAACAGAGTGGGAAGGGGGAAGACACATCAGGCAGGCAGGCAGGCGGCCGTGGCAACGATCTGATCTCTCTTGCCGTCTTGCTCGCTCATGTCAGTCGATGGACATGGTGCTTCGAGCTGCCGAGCAGCAGCCGCTGTCCACTCTCACTGGTGAGTGAGTCCTGCGACGCGATGACACGTTCGTTGTGTGCCTGTCCTGTGTTGATGTGTGCCTGTGTTGATGTGTGTGAACGTGATGTGGTGTGATGCAGATGTGATGGACATGACGGGGCTGAGCACCGTTGGCCGCCACCAGGTCACCGACACGCTCGGGCAGATCCTCCAGGCCTTCCAAAACAGCCCAAACACCTCACTGTAAGCCACCTGACAGACGCAGACAGAGGAACCGCCAGACGGATCCCTCCCTCTCTGTCTGTCTGTCTGTCTGTCTGTCAGGGTGTTGCTGCTGTTCGACGGTCGGCGTCTGGTGCGTGTGTTGCGGCCCCACGACCTGCTCATGTACCTCCAGGTCGACAGCACGCACACACAACACACGAGGGAAGACGTATCGTTTGTCCTTCTGTCTGTCTGTCTGTCTGTCTGCTTCAGCGCCTCGATGTCCTGCAAGGTGTGGGCGAGAACAAGGTGAGGCTGGCCACTCACTGACAGGAAGAGATGGATAGCCTAGACGCCCGTGAAATCTGTGTGTCGTTGGTCAGATGTTGCCCGTCAACCTGCCCCACCGTCCAGTAGTTTCGCTCGTCGAGACGGCGACACTCTTCCAGGCATGGCAGGCACACACATCCCAGTCACTTTGCATAATGCGAAGTCGGACATTCCGTCCTTTTTCCCCGTGTGTGGGTGTGCAGGGCATGTGTGTGTTGGAGCGTGAGCGTCTGCCTGCGGTGCCGATCGTCAGCCTCGAGAGCCCCACAGACATCATCGACATACTCGCTGCCAACGACTTCAGAGTACGGAGCCCACACAGCACAGCACCACGCTCTCTGCCCCATGCTCACATCCATCCCTGTGCCCGTGTGTTTGTGTCTTGTGTGTGTCTTGCCTTGCAGTATCTGTTTCTGGCCCGCGACGCCTACCCCGACACCGACATCATGCAGTCGCCCGCACTCCACTTCGTGCGCTTCGTCAGAACTCAAAAGAACAACGGCACTGAGGTGCGCTGCTCCTCTCTGGCAACACCCACACCCACACCCACACACACGCCAGACACGCAATCTCTCCTGCCTCCTTGTGTGTGGGTGTCTTCTGCAGATCCCTCACGCGCGCCATATGCCCCGGCCGCCCGAGACCAACCCCGCGCCGTTCTTCGCGGCTCTGCTGGAGGACCCCCCACAGGAGAACGCCTGTCTGCTCATCACCGACGGGGAGGGCGACGTGACGGCCACCCTGACCGTGTTCGACATCCTGCAGTCGCTGGCGTCGCTGCTGCATGAGATCCATCACTACGGCGGCGAGTGCATCGACGGCTCCGTCATGGGTGAGGAGCTCCTCGCGAGCGCCACGGTCGTGGTCGACCGGGAGAAGGTGCGCGAGCAGGGCCACCAGCAGCAGCAGCAGCATCAGGATCATCAGCCACATGTGGGTGGTGGAGAGGGCGGGGTGGGCGGGATACTCGGGATGCCTTTGGTGGGCGATGACGACGACAAGTCCGCACGCTCGTCGCTCTCCAACTTCTCCACTGGTGAGATACGCACTCCTCTGTGCGCTCAGCAGTGGGACACGGTGAATGGCTGGCTGGTCCTTGTGCTGTGTGTCCAGGTTTGTCTGACATGAGCGCCCTGTGGCAGCGCGCCCTCAAGAAGCGCCTCCGCGCCCCCAAGACCGAGTCTGGCGGGTCCGTGCATAACAGCCTGGCCGGTGGTGCCCCCTCCCGCATCCCATCGCCCTCCCCCGCACAGTCACCCACCACCCACCACGCCAATGCCAGCCCCCTCCCGCCACTACCGCCACTCGCCAATAAGAAGCCGAAAGAGGACAAGGCACCAGTGGCACAGCAGCAGGAGGCAGTCGTCACCAGTGAGCAGCAGCCGCAACACCAACAGCAGCAGGTGGTCCCCCAGCAGCCGATGGAGCAGCAACAAGAAGAGCAGCAGCAGCAGCAGCAGGAGGAGGACCAGCAGCAGCAGGAGGCCCCCGCCGGCGGCGTCGATGACGACGACACCACTGCCACAGGGACGCCATCTGACGGCAATGCTGTCGACCCATCAAGTGTGCAGAAGGACGAGTTTTACCCCGGCGACGGCCGCGTGCTGCTCGAGGCCTGTCTGGAGCTCCGTATGCGCGTCGAGGAGAACGCCCGCAAGCTGCAGGAGAAGATGGAGGCCGACAGGCAGAAGAAGCTCGAGGCCCGTGGCGCGCGCAAGGCGGCGCGCAAGGCCACCCCCATCGAGTGCGGCGCCGTCTACCCGTCGGAGGGCGACCGTTCCAACCCCACCACGCAGACCAAGTTCTCCACAGGCCTCAGCAACATGTCGGCTCTGTGGAACAACGCCGTCAAGAAAAAGAGCCTTCGCGGAAAGACCATCGCCGAGGAGCAGGAAGATGCCGCCTCTCTGGGTCTCGCCGAGGTGCAGATGCTGGCCAACGATGCGGCAGCGGTGGGCATCAAGTGTGCGGGCGACAACGCCAATGCAGCCCTGCTGCAGCCGCTGTGTCTGGAGCTGCTCAACAACCGGCCGGCGTCGCTGCCCCCCGTGGCCCTGTCGGTGATGAGCCCATTCGACGAGACCGGCAAGAACTCCCAGTCCATCAAGAAGGGGGGCGGTCGGGGCTTCACCATCGGCACCACACCGGGCAATCGCACGCCGTCGTTCGTCGACCAGGTGGCGGAGTCGCTGGCGTCACTCGAGTACTCGGCCAGCACGGCCTCGGAGCAGCAGAAGCCCCACCGCATCCGTGACGCCAAGACGGACCCCGACTCGTCCAGCCTCTCGACGACGATGTCGCACATGCGCACCGCCACCCTGCCCCCGCCCATGACCAGCACCTACTCCAGCACGCCCCTCCCCTCCCTCCCCCCGTCGCTCCCCGCCATCTCACAGAAGCAGACGTCACGACGGGCCAGGCTGAAGCGAGGCGGCGTCAAGGAGTACAACGGGCCTCTCTCGCTCAACTTTTTCTACAAGGGCGTGTTCCGTCTGCTGCTCGGCCAGCAGCCGGGCGAGCGCTCCAAGACAGCCCTCACGGCCGCGTCGACCAGCCAGGAGAGCATCAAGGACGGACCGACACCGGCACCGAACTCTCACAAGGAGCTCCCGCCGCTTCCGCAGCTGCCCATCCCCCTGACACACCGCACCATGGCGGATGGCGGGGAGAGGGGTGGCATCCCGCTGCACTCGTCCGGGTGCCTCTCTGACCGCGGCGTCAAGACCCCCCACTGCACCAACACCCAGGAGCAGGAGGAGCAGCATCATGCCGAGGACAACGAGAGCTCGAGCGAGGGGGAGTGTGATGGCGAGGACGACACGGACACCGGGCCCCTGATGCTGCCCCTCAACGTCGACCACACCGCCCTGCCCATCAGCTTCCCCCCGCCCCTCTCCCCGGCTGTGCGATCTTCATGGAGCTCGGCCCCGACGGACATCAGCGACGAGCCCAAGATGCGGCGGAACCGGTCGATGCGGAAGTGGCTGCGCAAACAGAGGGGCGAGCCCGATGACGACGATGACGCCATGAGCGACGACTCGGACGCCAGCACGCCCTCGTCTTTGCACTCGGCGGTGCTTCTGGAGGTGGCCAAGGACCCCCACCTGCTGCTGCAGTGGTGCATGGAGCAGCAGATCTACCCCTCATGGTTCCCCAGGCGCCAGCACGGCCACCACGGCACGCGCAACGCGACCAAGCGGCAGGACAAGAGATTCGTGCCCGAGATGACGGCCGGTGAGGGGCCGCAGGTGTCTGCCGACGGGCCGCAGATCCCCACGCGCATCGACCTCAGCGAGGACAGCATCTACAGCGGTGGGGCGAGCGCCGACATCATCGACAACGAGTCCATCTTCCTCCCCAGCAACCGCAACTGCCACGTGCCGCCGCAGCAGCAGCTGCCCATTGCGCCGGCAGGCCAGTTCGGGGACGCCATGAGCGATGTGGAGGGCAGTGCCGTCGAGAGCGGCTCGCTGCACTCGCATGAGGGGCCGGTTGCATCACGGTACTACCTGGACGTGGCTGAGCAGAAGGGTGCGGGGATGGGAGGGCTGGGGATGGGCATGATGATGCCCCTGTTTGAGCCCTCCTCGCCGCCCTACTCGATGCACCGCGTTGACCGGGACCATTCGCCGCGGCTGGTGGGGGTGCTGGATGGCTATGTGCTGTGAGCCGCATGGTGTGGTTCGGTGGGCTCGGTGTTTGGTGGGTGGGGTGGGTCGGCTGGTTGTGGTGTGGTGTGGTGTGTGACCGGCTGTGGTGGGTGTTGTGGTGCGTATGTTCAGAAGAGAAACTCTTTACGACTGACTGACTGACTGACTCAGTGTCTGTCCATTCTTCACCTCGTGGCATAACTTTTTACGTACACACATCACATGCATTGCATTCGTGTACGTGTGTATGTGTAGGCCTATATGTCGTCGTTCTATGGCTGGATGGATGGATGGATAAATGGTGTTTGTTTCTTACATCTGTTTGTCTCTGTGTGTCTGTCGGTTTCCCTGGCCATCCATCATCAGGCTCCCGTGCCGTGCCTTCTGGTTTTTGGCACACACACGTACGAGGTGATGATGGTTAATTTTACAACTAACTACCACAAGGAGGAGGGAGGCCGGCCAGCCTGGCCACCCACTTACGTCCTACTCGCTGTTTTTGCGTCCGTACGGTATTTGCTTTATCTCAAGATGTATATGCATGCACTGCATCCACATGTGTGTGTCTGTCTGGTTGTGTGTGGTTGTGGGTGGTGTGGTCGACTCACTGGCTCCCCCAATCAACGACTGTCTGGTCGTCAAGACACACATGCATACCATGCATACTTCCTTACACGGTGGCCGGGGGGGCGGCGGGGGGAAAGTACCTTTTGTAAAATGCGGATTGGATGGATGGATGGATGGCTGGTCGGCGGCAGCAGCAAGTTTAGTAGCCTGCATGCGTGTTGTACGTCTGTCCACTACCTGAGCTGCGTGGCTGTCCGGCCAGCCAGCCGTCATGATGCTGCTCTGTTGCTGTGGTGCTCTGGTGCCCTCCTTCTCTTCTCTCTCCTTCCTTCCCTTCAGGTAGTAGTTACACGTAGGCAGACAAACAGGCAGGCAGGCAGGTAATTCGCGCATCCATCCATCCATCCATCCATCCATCGATCCAATGCCTAAGGACCATGGTGGGTGGGACGACTGACCGAATGGAATGATCCAATGCTTCGTATCTATTACATACATATATCATACTATCCATAGCACTCAATACATACACTCAAGTCATCGTCTTTTTCTAAGATTTATTCATTCCTTTGTGGCACGTGTTGAAGGGCTTGTTTTATTCGTGAGTATATGCTGGCTGCCATTGGTTTGGTTCCTTTTGTACGTATGCGATGCGTGCTGAGGGTGTTGGGGCATCGTGTGCCCGGCTGCTGGGGTTGGTTTTCTTTGATGCGGTGCGGTCTGTCGCGGTCTGTCTGCCTCGGTGGGGGGAGTGCCTCGGTGGGGGGAGATGAGCATGATTAAGTCGGTGTGAGTGTATGCAATGCATTCGTGATGCATGCATGTGTGCACGATGCGACCATCGCTCTCTCTCTCTCCCTCGTACATTTAGCTGTTCATGACGTGTGTGTGACGACCGACCGGCATGACAGGTTTTGCTGACTTGCTGACTGAGTGGATGGATGGATGGTCGTCTCTGCCTCCCTGTCTGCCTCGTGTGTGTTGGGTATGTGTTGTGTGTCTTGTGTGTCGTGTGTGGGCAACCAGTGAATGCGATTTATCAGTCAGTTGCTGCTGCTGCTGTGCTGGCAGGGAGGGGGCCCTTTAAAGCACCCGTACACGCCACAAAGACATCATGGTGGCCATGAAGGGCCTCCTCTGTGCCTGCATGACACAATACACACGTGCAATTGACAGAGGGCGACACAGACAGACATCCACACCACACACACACACACATGGGGGCTGGATGGATGGATGGATGGCGCTGACGTGAGGCTCCCAATGCGAACAAAGCACCGGCCGGCGCGCGTGAGTGAATTGAGGGCCATGCGTGTCATAGCTACATACACGTGTGCGTGCATCGTCGTAACTCCACAGGCATTTTTGATATGATGTGTGTATGTGTATACACACACCCGTATACTCATTTCTAAGGGACGAGACGAGACACGGGGGGCGTTGAATAAAGGCATGGATGCATGTAGGCAGCCAGGCAGACAGGATGGAGAAACGAAAACACCTCTGCTGCTGCTGCTGCTGCTATGCTGCGCTGTGCTGTTGTGCTGTGCACACACCCCCGCCCGCCCACTATACATATACATATTCACCGGCTCTCATACACACACACGGGGGGATTGGGGGTGGCTGATAGGGGGTGGGGTGTCTTATAAGGATGGATGGCTGGCTGCATGGATGTACTCTGTGAATGTGCGGACGTACATGACTGTGCCGTGTGCTGTGTCTTGCCCGCCCTCTGTCTGGTGTTTGCTGTCTGTCGGGTGTCTGTCTGGTGTGGTGTGTGCTATGCTATGCCATGGTGTGTAAGTGTGTGTATTGGCTGCCGTACACGTGAGTTGCATAGAGGGAGATGAAGTGTCATGACTGCCTGCCTGCCTGTCTGCAGACGGACAGACAGACAGACAGACAGACAGACAGAAACGACCGACAAACACGACACCAGGCCGAGCTATCGGGCCAATCGGTGGATGGATGGATGGATGGATGGGCGGACTGCACGAAGTATCATTTGATTGCTCCTACGGGCGCGTGCATGTGTGTGGGCGAGGGTGTCGGGTGGGATGGGGGGATGGCTTGGATGGGGTAGGTAGGCAAACGTACAGCGCTTTCGGGCGCAACTATTTGGACGTACGTACGCTTGCCTGTTTGTTCGTAGTCAGTCGTGACAGATATGATATCATCAGCTAAGAGCATCAGCATTACTACCACCATGCCGTCACTCACAGCATGAGCAGCAGCTTGTGGACGGAGCAGAAGTCGCTCCACCCTCGCGCCACACGCAGGCGCAGATACCGCCACGACCCACCGGCCTGACACAACCATCCACACATCCACACACCATCACGGCCTCCGTGCATCTCTGTTGCATGTGCATGTGTTGTGTACCAGGGCGATGGTCTCGGTCTGAAGCCCTCCGCTGCGGTTTGGCAACTCTGATCACACATACACACACACACACGAAAGCAGCATGACATTCTCGAGGCGTGCTCGTGCTGTATTGTGTGCACACCCACCGACGTCCTGTAGCCTCTCGAAGTTGATAGGCGCCGGCCCAGTGGACGCCTCTACCTGCAGCACCCGAACTGGCCAACCATGCATCCGGCCATCAAATGCAAGAAAAGCCGTGTGGATGGATGCCGCACCGCACACATGACTGATCATCGTCTTACTTCCTGTGGACGATATCTGGATGCCCCGCGGCGGTTTGGCGCCGCCCTGGCCCTGCGGCAGCTCCAGGAGGATCTCCTGTGGGTACATGCCGGTCGATATCCAGAACGTCCGCTCATTGCCGTCGGTCATCATCTGCGGCAGATGGCGGTCGTCCATCGACGAGACCTGAACACAGAGATCAGAGGCAGATGCAAAGAGATCTCATCCATGCCAGTGGCCAGTGCTTTCATCTCTGCCTCTCCCTCTCACCATCATCACCTTCAAACCAGCCATATTATTCTGCGCGACGCAGATTTACAGCCTCTAAGCCCGCATCATCATATCTCCAGCCCTCCCCCTTCCAGACAATGGGGAACTCCCAGGCTGGGCATCATGAAGCTGCCCCCGGCGCTTCATCGATGCCCTTCCCTGAGGCCCCTCACAGCCCCCATGCAGGCGGCGGTGAGTTCTGTCCAGTGCCTGCACCCGCCCACCCGCTCCCCGAAGACATACAGCCGATGTGGGACCGTCTGATGGCCCTGGACTTCCACTCGCTCATCTCGACGGCTCTCTTCAAGAAGGGCATTTCCAATGCGCCCGCCCTTCTGCGGGACTGTCTGATGCTGCTCATTGTCAAGAACAGCCATGGTGATGACCCTCAGTGCGAATTGTCGATGCCGGCAGCTGTGGATGAGGTGTGGCACCAGCTCATTTTGGTACGATGAGAGAAGAACATGGGGCAAACCGTCTCTGTGACGCTGTTGGGTGTGGCCTGTCTGTTCGCAGGACACGACGCTGTACACGGCTGTGTGTGAGGCCATCGGCAGCAAGGGGCTGATCCGGCACAATCCCTATGGCGAGTTTGATAGTGAGGAGGACAAGACGGCCCGCCGCAACGCGATGAAGGGCAAGTTTCGGGAGGTCATGGGCTTCGATTATGTCGAGTACGCCTTTGCTCACGCATTTTCCGTCTGTTCATCTCAGTCTCTCATTGTCTGTATTTCTTGATCATCAGGCAAGAAGGATTTGGTATAATCGCACAGGACAATGCCGACGAGATCACTCCGCAAAGGTGAACAGACAAGAGGGAATAAGCTGGCGGTCTTTTGGCAAGGACTCGTCTCTGTTGCTGCTGCTGTGCAGCCATGACAACCGCAACGGTTACCAAGGCTTCAGAGTTCTCGTCAAGACTCTGGCGGGCAAGACTATATCTCTGCCCGTATCCGCAAGCACCACCGTCCCAGACCTACAGGAGATGACTCGCATCAAGGAAGGCATCCCAGTGACGGCACAGCGGCTTGCTTTCGGCGGCAAGCAGCTGGGAACGCTTGGCACCCTGGCCGACTACAAGATAGAGCATGGGGCCATCATTTTTCTGCTGCTGCGGCTCCCGGAGCCTGACGTCCCGAAGCCGGGCGTCCTCTCTTTCAAGTAGGCGGGAATTGGCCATTCACTGTCGCCCTAAGTTAGGTGTCATTAATGGTCTTTGTTCTGTAGACAAGATGGCTCCTGCACCATGGCTCAGACACTCGAGCGTTTGGGCACTCCAAACACGGAGGCAGAAAGCCCATACAACGGGCAAAGAACGAATACATACAGACGTATGTCTCTTCCTGTGCTGTTGCCGCTTGCAGGGATGCCACCCAAGACACTCACCGCGGGTTTCAGATATTCTGCAAGACGTTGACGGGGGAGAACTTGACCCTCTCAGTCTCCCCAACGACAACAAAGGTGGCAGAGGTCAAGGAGATCATCCGCATCAAAGAGGGCATCCCCGTGGCCGATCAGCGACTCGTCTTTGCCGGCAGACAGCTGGAAGACGATCGCACCCTGGCTGCGTACAATATCCAGAAGGAGTCGACCATACACGTATTGCTGCGGGTCAGAGGCTGCTAAGCGGCCATGGCCGCCATGATTCATGGCTGGCCTCCGACGTGTCTCTGTTTCTTTTTCGTCTGCATGCTCATCGGGTAGGAGAGAGATAGCACAATGGGGGGCAGGAGGGGGGCGTGACAATGGGTGCACACGGACATTTTCACACATCATTCGCGCGGCGCGGTAGAAGAAGGGACACCTGCCGACGTTGTCAAACTGAGGACTGTCAGTCTGACTGACACTTATGTCGATCAACAGCGCTTCGCGATGAATCAGTTCTGTCTGGCACTTTGGTGTCAGTGCAAGACGCACGATTTGCTGGCCACACTACGCACTATGACCTCAAACAAGAGCCTTCTCTGGTCGAATTCATGGCGCGACAAAACGCCCGTCGGCCAAGCTCGCGGCCCCCTCCCATCCGATCAGCGACACACCGCACTCATAACTGCGTCGAATACGGCAAATGTCACGGGGGCGAATGAGAACAGCGGCCGTCTCGCCGGCCGTCTCTCCTCCGCAGCACTGATTTCTTGATGGCGAAGGTGAGGGACAGGGGCAACCCTTTGGAGCTGTTCGGCTTCAAGGTCGTGCCGGCGGGGTGGCTCCTGGGCATCATCCTCTGGTCAATCGCACTCTTCAGCAGAGCATGGTCACCATCATCACTGCACACAGACCGGGGACACGCAGACAGACAGACAGACAGGCCAGGCGTCATCTGTCCGTGTCTGCGTGCGCCTGTGTGCAGGTTCTACCGTGCGTATTACGTGATTACACCGAACAACATCATTTTGACGATGAGCCTCACACACGTGAACATCGACATCCCCGACTGCTGGGACAAGAACATCAGGGACTACCGCATGAAGTACCTCAGACCGATATGGTACGTAAGGATGGCCTGGGGGGCCAGCCAGCAATGGGGAAGGCATCTTTGTCTCTGTCTCTGTGCATTCTCCGATTTCATGGTGTCTCTCTTGCCTTCTCGTGGGCAGCAAGTCTCGGTTCATCGGTGACCACGCCATATCGGACGTCAGAGACATCATCAGCGGGGCCAACAGCCAGCTGATGAGTGTTTTTGTGCTCATTGGCATCGGTGAGAGGGAGAAGAAAAGCCACCATGGCCACTGATCTTCTCGTTTGGTGTGATTTGGTGTGATTTGTGTGTCGGTTGGTGTGTTCAGGGGGTCCCAACATGGGCCAAGCAGTGGGGCTCTTCTCTCAGCTCCATTACATGGGCATCGGAATGGTGCAATGCACTGGGCTATGACATGCCAACAAACGGTTCTCACATGTCCCCCTGTGTGTGTGTGTCCAGTATTATGCGGCAGGCGTATCGGCGGTATGCATCCTGGCGGCGACCTTCTTTCTGGCGCGGGTCAAGGCAAAGATGCGGCAGGGCAGGGGGAAGACGTACCTCATCGTTAGCATAATTCTCACCGCCCTCCCGCCGCTGCTGCTGGGGGGCATGGTGGCGGGGTACTTCCTGTGCGCATACAGAATGGAGGACCTCTTCGTGTATCGTACCCACACAGACGGGGAGAGACACGGAGGGAGACACAACGATGTGTGCCGGCATCTGTCTCCCTCTCTGTGTGTCTTCGTCAGGGCCGGTGGTGCTGTTATGACGTTCATGAGCAATGAAGGCTTCGGTGATTCGCAAAGCGTCAAGGGAGGGGGGGAGGGAGGGAGAATAGGTCGTGCCTGTCTATGTGTGTCTGTCTTTGTAGGGCTGGGTGTTGGATGGAGTTGGGGTGTGGCCGTTGCGGGGACGGTGTGTCTCTTCGTGCCGGTCTTGGGAATGCTATGCGTTGTGTAAGCATGCCCACAGAAAACACTCAGCACACGTAGACACCATACCTCTGTGGGTGTGCGTCTGTTGCAGTCAAGACGTGCAGCAGTATGACGTGGAATCAGAGAGTGACGAAGACGATGAATACAGAGGCAAGGAGACACACAGGGGAGAGGAAAGGGCTGTTCTCACGTGTTGTGTCTGTCTTTGTGTGTCATCAACCAGAGGGTCTGCTGCCGCCCGGGCCGCCCTATCGCGGCACCTATGCTGCGCCAGTGCAGTACGGCGGCCAACCTGTTACCTATGTCGTCAGGCCCGTCCAGCACTAGATATTCAGGGTATATGTTGTGTGCTGGTTGTTTTGTGCCATTCTTCCTTGTGTCAGTAATAGCAATGAGGAATTGAGAGTTCGGCATTTAGAAATGTCCCTTCCTTCAGTGACGCTGATTGATGTGTATGGACATTGGAGAGAGTCTGAAGGTGTTCGTGTCAGCACACATGGATTGTGTATCATAAAATTGGGCGAGCCGACACAGCAGCCGTGCCATCATACAGTGCATCCATCCATCCATCCACGCCCCAACAGCAGGAGAGCAACCAAGGTAACTCATGCGGCACTCATGGCTTAACCCTGCCATACCAATGTCTGACTGTATGCACCTAAGGCATTTGGGTGCATCGATTAGTCATATGAAGCGGCCAAAGTGACTTATGTGCGTAGCCGCATGTATGTACTAGACAACACCCGATCGATGCGACGATGTATGTACATGAGCAGATCGAGTGTACTGATTGCCCTCGACCGACAAGACACGCAAGGAATGCGCCCCCACTCACAGCACAGGAAAACCCCGGTAGATACCCACCACCCATGGCCATTGACTCTGCTACAGTACACACGTCGACTACGACGCTTCTGGCGAAAAAAAAAACACCATCAGTCGTCACTGTCGGCTGCACACGATGCAGAAAGGCCACTACACGCATCATAGACGGCCTCGGCCGACACCGACAATGCCACGCTGTCCTTCTCGTCACTGCTCAGCCGGTGCCAATCGACTCGCATGAGGTTGCAGGGGGGGGGTCAGGGCGGCGGTGTGGGGGCCGCTCTGCCGCGATTGGGTTGAGCCGACGGGCGGCGACCCACCACTCATCGGCACATCCTCCACATCGCCATCATGTGGCGTCTCCACCACGGTGGGCGCGCTCGCGAGAACCTCCGGGATGGCCTCCTGCATGCAGCAGAACAAACAACACAGATGGACATATTTAAAGACACGCGAGGATTTCTCCCTCACTGACCGGTCGGCTGCCCTTCTCGATGAGCGCTCGTTTGGCCTTCCGGAAGGCCTCATAGAGGCCCCGCCAGCCGCCAGTGTGCTGCTGATCTATCGATGCCTCATTGTCGGCCGTTTCCAGATCGCTGCGGGCGGTCCGCCTGAGGGCCGCCTGGTGCGCCTGCTCTCTGCTGACGAGCTCGTCAACCACATAGCACAAGTTGGCCTGGAGGTCGTGCAAGGTGATGCCCGCAGATACGTCTGAGAGCTCCGGCTGTCCACTTGACTCATCACTGGACGTCTTGCCGGCCTCCAACTGGGTTGACACTGGACACATCACAATCACATGACAACGTGCATGAATCAAGATCAAGCAGCGATCTGACCTTCGCCAGAGCGTTGAATGCGAAACACATTGAAGAGATCGCTCGTCCTCATGTGCCTCAGACCCTGGACACCCACACAGGTCGATCGACCATACACATGGGGGTCTTCTGTCCTTCGCCTTACTTACCGTGACTGTGCGGTCGTCAGGTCTAGGCAGATGGACAACCACATGGCCTCGACGTCGGCTGCGCATCTCCACTCGCTTCTGCCGCAGGCCCTGCACCAGGAAGGCGTGGCTCCACAGAAACTCATGGCTGGCCAAACCACCAAACACACACACAGACAGCAGAAGGCATCAACGAGTCCCATGTTGGTGTGTGTGCTCACAAGTCGCTGGGCACGTGTGTGAGCTTGAGTGCTTCGATGGCGTCCTGCACGGCGGCTGACGTCAGCTGCATTGCTGTCACCACACGATGTACCGGCCGGCCAAAAGAGGGATAGCATCGGCCTGCTGCAGCGGGGGAGCCGTCGGCAGAGAGGGCAGCACTGGACCAGTCATAGAAGACCTTCGGTGAGACGCGCCGTTTCTCCTCCTCTCTGTTGATGAGCCACGACAAAAGAGGGCCCGTCACCCAACTAGCCATCACGCGGGCTGAATGAAACGCCATGAGACGACACCAGCAGGCAGATAAAACAAAGATGGTCATTGTGTGTTATTCCGCTGCTCACCGATAGCCTTCGTGCGGTCACCGAGGGCCGTATATCGGTAGCTAACTTGCAGCAGGACATACCGACATATCTGCGTGGCCAATATGATGTAGTGCACCAGATTGGCAAGAATGACGACCAGCACGAGGGCGATCGTCAGCACAAGAGAAGTCCCCTCGGGCAGCATGACGACGGACTGCATGACGAACAGCGACACGAGCCACACCAGCAGCCCACGCATCTCAGACCGATTCAATATGTCCATACTGCCTCGATCGAACGGCCACACGGTCAGTTGCAGCACCAAACATACAGCGGCGATGATTGTCCAGCCCAGCAGCTGCTGGCGGGGCTGTGCCGTCGCTTGTTGTGCGATAAGGAGTACCAATACACGCCTCATAGCCAGCAGAGCATCCCAATAGTGGAAGCTTTTGCGATACCCGACATAGAGGAAGCCCACCCTTCTGCGCGTGTGGTGGTCCTGCAGGCTGTCTCTGTGTCGCCACAAAAACGCCACGCCACATATGACAGGGCCGAATGTCCACAATAACAGACCAGCCACGGCAATCCACAGGAACGGGGCGTGCTCGGTCGATCGGCAGATGACACGGGAATCGAGATCCATCCGAGGCTGCATTTCATCCATCGGATTGGGTGAGAGTAGGCTGACACTCTCTCCTGAGGCAATAGGAATGACATCGTCCACATAGGGGTAGGGCCGGCAGCGCAGGAGGGCCAGCATGCTCTTGGTCACGGTCGGGTGGATAAATGTGAGGATAACAACCATCATGCCTCCCCGGTTGTCTAGCCATTGCCGCCATCGGCCACTCTTGCGTAGCTCCGCTCGAGAATGCTGGCAGGACGGAGGTGTCACTGATTCAGTACGAAAGTCCTCTTGAAGGGTGACCGATCGCTGGCGAGGCCCGTTTGCCGCAGCCTCGTCTGCCTTTTCATTGGTGACTGATGGACGCGCGGAGAGGGCTCGGAGGTCGGTGTCGGTCGCGAATAAGATCGACACATCGCTGCCAATGTGCCGTTTTGATTTGATGGCATCACGCGCTCGCTCAAACCCGCTCGCTGCAGCCACGACACGCGCCACAAGTGAACACATGCACTGCCTTCTACAATGTGTGTGTGTGTGTGCGTGTGCTTACCAATAATTGGCACAGCAGTGAGCCAGACGAATGGTAATATTTACCACATGGCGTGTCGGTACAGCACGCATTTGTCGCCCACATATGGCCTCAGTAGACATTCCCATATCTGATAGCTTTGAGGAACCCCGCCGGTCCAGGCGAAGAAGCTGCCGACCAATGAGGATATCTGGTTGCCCCAGACGGACTCGTCGAATACGAGAAAGGCCAAACCACACACCTGCACACACAAACCGCAACGCCATACACAGGCGAAAGGTGAGTGCATGAGTTTCTGTCTTTCTGCCATCGCGTACAGCGGTGATGTGTGAGAGTCCGATTTTGATCAGCTGAGAGGGGATTTCAGCGCGCGGAGACGACGAAGCCCTGAGGAAACACACACACACACACAAGCAACACGGAGATCGATCGACTAGCGGGCCTTTGTGACAGGTGCACCGCTACGTGCTGACCTTTCCGCAAGCGAGGTGAGTATGAAGATGGCCATTACAGTGGCCAGGACGAGCAACACGTTGACGAGCACGATCCGTCACAGTGGGGCACATCGGACGCACGGCTGCTGGGGCGTCTGGCGAGAGAAACCTGCCTTGCACCGAGAGCACACAAAACCCTCATGCCCTTCCTGACACAGACAAGGCAAGAGTGTAAAAAATGCGACTCTCAGAATAATGCAATTGACTCTTGCCGAGCATATGTTGAGCCCATCTGTCTTGTTGGTGCCTTTACAGGCGGACGACAATGGGCACCGCATTACTATCGGCAACAAAGTCAACCCAGCGCCATATCTAGGAGACACCAAAACACCACACTCCCTCACATGGCTGCTTACGGTGAGACCGGTCTTACGTTGTCACTTCTCGTGTGGTGTTGTGGGACGGGCGATCCGACTCCAGTTGGACAGTGAGCTGGAAGAAGCCCGGCAGCACACTCGCATTGTAGTTGATGGGGACCGAGCAGTTCAGGCCGGGCAAACAGTCCTGGCAGATCCATGTGTCGCGACCGCCGCTACGACCGCTCTTCCGCACACCAACAGACCCAGCGGTGCATGGCTCGCACGGCTCATCGCCGCGCTGGTGGCCAAGACGGCAATAGCATGTAGTTGAGCCCTCGTCGGAACCTGAGGACACATTCTTAAAGTCCAACAGTCAGTACATTGAGAGTTCATTTATCCCATAACTGACCTGCATCATCAGGGCATTGTTTGCATGTTTGTGTCTTAACTTGTCTGTTGCTATATGTGCCAGCCGGACACTTCGTGCAGTTAATGCCGATGCCCTCATATCCAGGCAGGCACCGACAGAGGGCATCCGAGGCAAAGATATAGTCAACCTGTGCAAGCAGGGAGCGCAGTAACAAGCAGACACCTGATAAATACTCGCCCTCTCGCCGTGTCTGTTTGATGGCATGGAACCTGACCTCAACTTGGTTAAACACAGAGCAGAACTCCGTGCACTCAAAGCGCTCCTCGCCATTGTCCAATGCATGCGGCAGATTTTTGATATCCTGCACCGATCACGTAGAGCCAGGCAAAATATTGACACCGGTTGATGTCATGCTGCGCTACCCACCCAGCGGGTCGGGCGACAGACATCCAGTGAAATCCTGATTCGCACCGGTGGTTAATCTGTGCAAACCCTGACACCTCTGAATCACACAGACACACAGACACACAGACACGCAGACACACGCACGCAACGGAGAACACAGCGAACAGCGAAGAAAATGATCAGCACAACGAGCAGAAGGGCCTTCTCTCATTCTCTCACCTTAATGTCGGGAAAACTGATGCATATCGGGGTCTGCCCACTTCTCAGGTCTGGGTTGTTCGTCAACCTCGCGTTACGATACGGCTGGACGGTTAGTGATTTCCAGAGGTCCGAAGGCGCAGCCACTCTCACCAGTGAATTGTTGTCGAAGTCCACTTGAAAGAGCGGTGACCGCATCAATCCGTACAAATCGATTGAACTAATATTGTTGTCACTTAAAATGAACCGCAAGTTGTCCACTGTTAAGGGTGTGAGCTGTTCACACAACCAAAACTAATCTATATAGACAAAAGCTTTCCTGTGCCCTACTATTTGTCTTCTGCGTGTCTAGCTGTGTGCTTACCGTGTTCGCGGTCAGCGCCAGGGCCTCACGGTCGACTGCGAAGAAGGCCTCACAATGTAGCTCGCCATGGATGCTGCAATTCGATGCCAAAAGGACATCCAAACTGTCAGATACATGAAGAGACAAAGCAGGAATGAACTGGATAAAAAGCCGTAATGTTTAGCTACTTGCTCTGCCACTTGAGGGGCATGAAGAACCCGATCACGTCGACATGGATTGGATTATTCGATACATCCAGCTGTTGCAGGCTGCCCCAGTCAGGTGGGGGTGGTAAAAGGCTCGCATCCGAAAGTGTCCTCACTAGACCGTCAAATCCTCCTTTCCTTATGGCTATCATTTCATTACACACGCATTCACGCAGACAAAATATCCATACATACGGCTGCCTGCCTCTTGCTTCCTCGCGTGTGTGCTGTATGTATGCATATCAGCTTACTCAGTATTCCTGTGTGTGGCATGTAGCAGACTCCTTCCGAGGTGGAGCCCCAGTCGGGCCACTTGCTAATACGATTATTAGCGAGGGCTAAAACCTCTAGCTTGGGCATTGAGCGGAAGCTCTCCGGCAGGGCGCTTAACAGGTTCCCGCTCAAATTTAGGTAAACCAGTCTGATGCACACATATAACACACACATGCACACATCTTTCTGGATTTCGGGAATGGCCTCACTGACACTGACGATTCTGGTATCGAGCCGTTGTCGGCGAATCCCGTGATGCGATTCTTGTAGAGAACGATTCTCTCGAGGTTGGGAAAGGCAGACAGGTCGATGGACCCATTCAGACGGTTGGATGAGAGGTCCAAGCGACGAAGGCTGTGGTACCTCAGACCACTATGACTGCGATCCACCAATCCGTCCAGCCTAAGAATTGACGGGCCCAACAATGATGTGCGTGCCATCTGTCTACTGTGCAGCGTACCGGTTGTTTGCTGCGTAGATTTCGGTGAGACGCTTTAAAGTCTGAAAGCCGACGGGCAAGTGACCCTCGAACTAACACGTGATCATCAGAGCACACACAAACTGTTGCCAAAGGTCGCTTACTCGTCGTGGTTCTCACCGACTTGTTGGCCACCCGTAGTTGCCTGAGCGACGTGAGGTTGCTTAGCGGCTTTAGAGTGCCGGTAAACTTGTTGTTGTCCAAATCAAGAGTCTCAACCGACTTCCAGCCACTCAGCGTATCCGGGAGGTTGCCAGAGAGCTGCAGGCACGAGTATGGGTAGACACAGCAATGCGTCTGGCGCCATGCATCTATTGGGTCCTCACCCGATTGTCATAGAAGTCTGCTTTGCGGAGCTTGGCCAGCTTCCCAAGCTCGGCTGGTATTGGGCCGCTTAAGTTGTTGTTTTCCAAATGGAGTTCCTCCATGGACTTCAACCCCCCCAGCGTGACCGGCAGGGCGCCCGATAGCTGGACATCCCATGGGTAAGCACAACAATGTCCGTAGCGACATGTATGAATGTGTAGATATACCTGATTGTTGGCAAGGTCTAGACTCCATAGCTCAGCCAGCTGCCCCAGCTGTGAGGGTATGGTGCCGCTGAATCCGGAATTATGCATTTCTAGTGCTCTCAGATCGCCCGCATTGCCCAAGGAAACTGGCAGTGGACCAGAAAACTGATACCAGAGAAAGAGACGTGACAAATTGTTATTCACACTTGCGTTTGTGTTGGTTGGCTTATCTGTTTACATACATTGTTAGATGAAACGTCCAACCATTGAAGGCTATCCATGTTATTACCCAGCCCATCCGGCAACGAGCCGGTATAGCTACTGTTCCTTAAATTCAAACGTATCAGCCGGCTCAGCTGTACCACGGCAGCTCTCCAGTCAGCCGATTACTCGGTAGCTCCAGCGCGACCAAGCGAGACAGGGAGCCCAGATCGCCAGGCAAAGGGCCTGTCAGGCCGGTGGCCTCGAGGACTAGGTGGGTAAGGTTGCGGCAATGAGTGATACTGGCCGGGAAGGGTCCCTCCATCCGCTTATTATCAGACATAGTCAGGATCCGCAGTCGGTGAAGCCTGCCGATGTCTTCAGGGATAGGTCCTGAGAGGTCTGTCCTTATGAGCTCGAGAGCCTCGAGGCGGGATAGATTGGCGAGGGAGGACGGGATTGGACCGCTTAGTAAATCGACGATGTACAGGCCCTTCAGATAAGGCAGCTGGCCAATTGTAGTTGGAAGCGGACCGGTCATCCCATCCTGCAATACCGCCACGCGCATGAGCATACGTGTGCATGAATGTGTGCGTTAGATGTAACTGACCACTCCAGAAAGGTCGATGACGCGAAGAGAGGTCACTTTGGCGATGTCATCGTCCAAGCTTCCCTGTATGGGCATTTCATCAGCGAGGAAACATACCAGGTGCCGCAACCGATTGAACGACGCCGAGAATACCAAAGCGTTCCGGCCTCGCTGCTGTAAGATCAGCGGCACATCCGATACCTCCATGTGCCTACGATCCGCTGTCAGAGCAAGAATATATCCCTCCCGCGGGCCGCCATCCGCCAGCGCCTCACTCAGCCGCACACACGTGATGAAGGGGACGACGCACAGATTGTCTTCAAAGGTGGACTTGGTCTCGTTGCCGACCAATCCGGCCTCATAAGACCACTCGAACAGAGCTGCAGCATCCTCCTGACACGAATCGCACCGCATGAGCTCCTCCATTTCGGTATAGGGAAGAATATTGTGGCCATATTCGTATGCCGGGAGAAAGGGGTCAAAGCGTTGCAGGAACTTCAGCCGCCTGGCATCATGCCAGCCGGGAGGGAGGGGAAGGGAGAGATCCGAACCATTGGCGGGCTGAAGGGTGCGCCGGAAGGGCGAGCAAGCCACGAGCGACGATGAGAGGGCAAGAAACGCCGCACATAGAAGAATCACCATCGGATACTCATCGACCAAGCCCTTCGCATTCCATAAACGACATCTGATGCTGTGGATGAGCGATGCATAGCAATGCTGATCTGGCAGGGGAAGGCGCGCTGATGGTGGCTCCGTGAAACCGCTGCTACTGTAGCGTATGAGTGGATAGCGCGGTGCACAGCTTGTTTGGCGCCCACTGCCTCACTGTGAGTGCTTGGCGATGATGAAGAGCCTCAACTGAGAGCCTGAATCAATCGGTGAGCATGATCGTCGGTGAGGATGAGATGAGGGATGGCCGGAAGATGGGATGCACTGTACGCCTCTGCACTTCAGTTTCAGGTGTGTTCGGCCAGCGCGGCGGCATGGCAGCTGCAGCGTCATCTTCATCCGCTGCCGGCGACCTCCCGCAGCCACAGGTACGTGTGACGCTGCAATTGACGCTGCACCGCGTCAATGGCGAGGAGCGGCTGGGCGGAGATCGGCTGACCATCCACACCCTGCAGACACTGCCGGCCAACCACCCCTTCCGCAATGGATTCGACGAGGCCAACCCCGTGTGAGAGTTTGGAGGGAATTTGTTTGGAGGTAAGGGAGGGAGGGAGGGAGGGAGGGAGGGCTATGGACAATCGATCATCTGGTTGCGTGTGTGTGTGTGTACAGCTTATGACTATGCTTCAGTCCGCGACGCTGTGTTGTATGAGTGAGAAAGATGAGCAGAATGATGCACATTTTGGCTGCACCGCTCTGCCATGATGTGTCTGGTCAGCATGCGCTTTGGATGGTCATGGAGGGTCGCGTACCAGGAGGTCGACCCGTACGTCAATGCCACACGCTGGTACCGAGTGGTCAGCCACACACCCACGCACACACGGTTGCCGCACCAGCTGCCCCACTCCCTCATTGTCATATCCCTCTCTTCAGCGTCAGCTCTCCACCCAGCAGCTGCCTGTGCTGGACCGCACCACCATCAGCACCGGCCACCGTCCAGCAGCAGCAGTCTTCCGGCGCATCATAGTGCTGCACGGCGACCAGGCCGATCACACATTATTCGAGGCCCACATCTACATCTACAGCAACCCCGACTCTGCCGATGCCTTCCTGTTCACGACGGAGCCTCCGGTGGCCGGCAAGGAGGGAGCAGCCAGATTCCCCCAGCAGGGGAGGACGCGAGCACAGGTCGCCGTTAGTGGATGCATCTGACGTTGTCAGAAACGCGAATGGAGGATCATCATGATGCATCGGAGGGAGCTCCTGCTAGCATCAGCGAGGTCCACACAGCAGCAGACACACGCACGCGCGATGCTGCATTCGTTTTTGCTGTGTGTTCCGTGTGGTGGCATTTGTTCGTGCAGCTGCGTGCCGACGCTGACCTGTTGTGTGAGGGCATCCAGCAGCTGCAGAAAAAGATCGAGGTAAGCTTACGGAAGGTGCACGCACTGAAGCGCCCTGTGTCTTTCTTGTTCGTCTGTGCAATGCGTGCAGCGGAGTTGTGATGTGTGTCCAAGCGGCGGCGAGTTGTATGCGCTAGTTCGGAGTCACTTCGGAGCCGCCAAATCTGCCGTGTCAGCGCTCGAGGCCGTCATCACGGCGGCCTCGCTAGATTCGACACAGCAGGCGGACGACGCCGCCTCACCCGCTGCTGCTGCCGCTGCTGCCGGTGGCGGTGGGAGCGATTGTGGGTTCGCCGATTCACCGCCGGAAGAAGCCACCGCTCAGGTAGAGAGTCCTCAAAAGAGAAGGTGGAAGGATCTGTGTGTATGTCATCCTTGTTCTCCTGTCTGTGTGTCCGCTTCACTCAGATGGCCGTAGCTGATGCCGATTTGAGTGCCGCTGCCTCACCCCAGCCGTCGTATCGAATCAAGCATAGATCGGGACTACCGCCACCCGACCAGCCGCTGGTCAGAACACAAAACCAACGACCCGCCACCTCTGCACACCGAATCGTTTCTGTCTGTGTCGATGTGTGTGTTTGTGTCTAATCCGCAGGCCCGGCTTCGTCTCTCTGCTGACGAGCTCGCCCGTGTGTTCGGCTTCACTCACCCCTGGGAGCTGACACGTCGCCGCCGCGTCCTCGGCAAGACCATCTTCACCGGGGCGGCCGCCAACTACACACACCTGACCATCGACGCGTCGAAGAAAGGCGGCGTGCGCCGTCTGTGGGAGAGGATGCCCCTCAAGACAGCCTTCAAGTGGGGGCAGCGTGCGATCCATCTGACGCATCTGCACCTCACCAGGCCTCACGTCTTCGCCAGCCGCTGGTGCCGCGGAGTCTGGGTGGCCTTGCTCGAGGGCAACGCAGCGGCCCGCAAGGCCATTAACGACAATGAGAAGAAGAAGAGGCGAAAGGGGCAGGCAGAGAAGCGGGAGGAGGGGGGAGAGGAGGGGTCGGCACGGCCGGCACACCATGTGCCACAGCCCGCTTCGTCCATCAAGGTCCTCAGCTTCGACTCGCCCGGAGAGGAACAAGAGGAACAACAGGGCGGCAGGGACACGTCGGCGGACCCGCTGCCCGCCTCCCCCTCCCCCGTCGACCTGTCGCAGCTGGAGGAGGTGCACAAGATGCCTTGGCGGTATGCGGGCGTCCGCACGGGCAGTCGAGTGTGGCACACGCCGCATCTGCGTGTGCTGACATTATGGCGGGACAATATCTATATGCCGGAGGTGACACATAGCTGGACGCAGACCTGCGGCCACCTACAGGAGTTCGACGAGGACAGCTATCTCTTGAGAGACAAGCAAGACCTGTTGTCCAAGGCCCCCTCTCTGCCCAGCCTCCAGTCCATCGGCCCCATCGATTTGTTCCGAGGTGAGAGCGGGACGGTGGCCGAGCTGCGTGAGACCCTCCCTCGTTAGTCGGGGCTGTCACGATAGATCGGGACTCACGATTGTCTTCTTCCGCTCTGTATCTAGCCTAGCTCCGGGATGTGAGCTGCTATCGTATGTCTCTGTAAAGCGCTTGGAGGACGTCTCTTTTGAGCGGCCTCCTGCGTCGAGTGCATTGCCCGACAATGTGCCGGCGGCGTGGCGTCTGCGCTGCCCGCTCATTTTGCGGCTGGGGGACTCTTTCGACGAGGTTAGCAAGGCAGATGTGCGCTCGTATGTGCAGTTCATATCGATATGCCGCCCAGTGCATGTCCACTTTTCTGGATGGGTAGATGAGGATGAGTTGGAGGGGGAGGATCAGATAGATGCGCTCAGGGACCTCAGGTCACTGGCGTGGGAGTGCTTTGAAGACCTCAAGGCACTCTACACCATGGCCGGTGGGTCGTGTGAGCTGAATTTGATGGGAGAGTACTGGCTGAGGGCCGACCTGGTGGCCAAATGGGCAGACGGGCACACAAGGTATAAGGTATAGCGGTTCTTTCACGGTTTGACTTCCTGCATGAACGAACCGTTGTGCGTGGATGAATGTACAGCTGAGCCATATATATGATCCATGATTGAACGAATCAACCAACCAACCAACCAACCATTTCAGTGGTCCGCCTGCTACAATAAAGCACAAGCCCCCCGCAAATCCTCTTCACCACTCAGTATATACGTATATACGTATACGGATACGTATGTACGTTTGTACGTATATATGTATGTATGGATGGGTACGTATGAGTGATCACACGGTCGACGTCGACATCGGCGGGCAAAACGAGACTCGCGTCACAGATAAACAAAGTCTCGATTGCTCATCGATGTGACACGCATCGACTGAGGGCGGCTGGCACGTGTGTATGTGTAGGTACGTACAGATAAAGGCCATCCGTGAGGACCTCACTGCTCCATGATACAGCTCACACGCAAACTCAGTGAGCTGGGTAAGCCTTAAACTACAGCACACCCAACACAACGCACCGCACGCACACACACACACACACACACAGCAATCGAAGAGATGAAAATGCCTTCACTTCTCGGCTTCATCTGAAGTGATAGGGGACAGCTCTCCCTCCGGGGACAGCTCTCCCTCCGCACGAGCGACCGGCACACCCGTCTCCATCGGCACGTCAGCCTCACCACCAGCACGCATACGCACCTGAGCCAAGGAGGGGAGGGGAGAGGGAGGCCAGAATGAACCGATCGACGTGCATAAGTTCTGTGCTGTGAGTGTTTACCCCGCCATCGTCCACGGCCTGCTGGATCCACTTCTGCAGGGCCAGCTGCTCAGGCGCGGTCGTGATACGGAGAGTGTCCCTCATGAAAACCACCCTGTCCTTCATTTCCAGCCGGCCAAAGCTCGCCAAGTCGTCGCCGTCAATCTCATGCTGCAGCCACACACACACACTCACACGGGGCTTTGACGAGACCCAACTATCTGCCTTTGGGCGGCCTAATATCTGTCTCCTCACCCACCTGCTTGATGACGTCGGCGAGCTTCTGTAGCTTCTTCGAAGGGTGGTGCCCCAACACACTGACGATGTCGTCATGGGTCAGCTGCTCGAGGGCAGTCAGCTGCCCGCCGTCGCCTGCAATACCGCCTTGCTGCCCACCTGACACACCTGATGACACGCAGCCAGCGCCATAAGCACACACACAGATCACTCGGTGCTGGTCTGTCTGTCGTCGTGTCACCTGACGCTCGAAGTGTCTTAGCTGCAGGTTCCTCCCCGCCCCCACTCTCCGCCGCCGTCTTGGTGCCACTCTTGTGCTGCTTCGGTGCCGTCTTTTGCGGCCGCTGCCGGGTCGCATTCTTGTCCTGCTTGCTCTGGCCTGACCCACACGCACCACCACCAGCCGCACCACCACCACCACCACCTGCAAGTGCCGACAGACACACAAACGGGGATGAAGCATCAGACCATTTGCCCGTCGTTACTAAGTACCTGCAGAAGGGCGCGGCGCAGAAGCGGCACTGGCACTCACGGTGTCGTTGTTGTGCTTGACGATCTTCCTGCCTTGGGTATCCGGCACGATCCTGTGCGTGGTGTCGAGCAGGTCGGTCAGAGTCTTGCCTCCAATGCGGCGAAGCATATTGATCAGGCTGTCGAACCGCCAGCTGCGATTGGATGTCTCTACACACGCCGGCCCTAACGTAGATCCCGTCCCGATCCTCATCGGGCGTGGCTGGGTATCATGCAGCGGGGCGGTCTCGGGGATGGGATCCTCATCGGGCGTGGCTGGGTATCATGCAGCGGGGCGGTCTCGGGGATGGGATTGAGGGCAGGGACGGGCGCATTCGTCACGGCATGACGGTCGGTGCGCGAATGGCCAGGGGTGGGCAAGAGTGGAGGCAACAGGGGCGGCTCGATCACACTCTGCGGAACACGTAAAGAGCGGCCTCACCGTGAGATGGAAGCTGACGGTGCTGTTGTTGGTGTCCCCGTGCACTTCTTGGTGAAAGAAGCACGCAGCTCTGCCTCCAATTCATCGGACGGGCGGCAGCCGTCATCGGTCGCTGCGTCGGCGGCTGGCTGGTTGGCCTGCTGGCCATCACTGTTGACCTCTTCCTGCTCCACTTGGGCACCTGCACGCAATGAAGAACAGAAAGATACACATGCTGCGGGGGGGAGAGCATTCGTGTGTGTTCTCACCACCAGCCCCTGCGGTCGGGGCTCCCTCCTCCTGCTTCACCCGCACCTCTGCCTTGATCATGCTAGCAGCAGTCTGCCTTGACCTGGCCCTGCGGTCGCGCACTCGGGACGCACGTCGCCAGGGATAGGAGGGATGAGGGTGGAGGTGAAAGCAGAGTTTCGGATGCAGATCTCCGTCAAGGTGCGAGCTTAGCCCGAGAAGGAGAGGGCTTCCATTTTTTGCCACGGAGCGGTTCCAGGCGGCCTTCTGGTAAGCGCAAAGCATGCGGGAAAGCATGACCCCTCAGTTTTGGTGGCCACCTCGACTTTTTTTGTCTGGCGCTGTGTGCAGGCAGATGGGAAGCGCTGAGAGGCAGCAAACGTGCTGCATGGTGACGGCAGCTGACTGAAGACCCTCATCAAGGCATCCCCAGCAGGTGAGCTTCGCACTCCTGGGGAGGGCAAAGGCAGGCGAAGGGCATGCGATTTGACAGATCTCTGACGTGTCTGCCTTTTCCTGTGTGTGGTACAGGCACGTCTCAGTGCCAGTCATCACTGCCATCGCTCCCCCAATGTCGCGTTCCCTCGCCACCCACCACCGTCTGCTCACCCGAGCCCTCACAGCCCATCCTCGCGCAGCATGTGTGCCCTCAGCCCACCTGCTGGGCGCTCGCTTCGCCTCGTCCGAAGTGAGCAAGGGGGAGCTGACCCGCACACTGAGTCAGCAGTATGGGCGGGAGGTCGAGCGCTTGCAGTCGCAAGGCATCACGCGCACAACCATCCTGCGAAGGACGGCGACGGGCGAGGGCTTCGATGCGTCGAAAATCAACACTTCCAAGGTCTTTTCACACACACAGACAGGAGTGGGGATGCGCCGGCTCATGTGTTGGTGTGTGGTTTCTTTGTTCAGTCGAGTGACACGGCATACGCGTACCCGAGTGGCGAGAGCTCCATCATCCACACGTCGACCCAGACGCTGGGCGTGACGGTCAAGGAGCTGTTCAATGTGATCGTGCTGCTGCAGTGCAACAACCTCCACGAGATCTGCCTGGGCAGCGAGTTCACCTGGAACGGCACACACATGCTGGGCCGGTCCAACAACTCCATCAGCACCACCACCGTCTTCCCCAACAGCTACGGCATCACCTCAGCCCACTCGGGAGCGGACTCGCTGCTGTCCCGCTCGCAGATGCTCGACACGTCCGTCGACAGCAACCGCGCACAGCCGCTGGTGGCGACAGGCAAGAAGCTGACGAGCACCAAGGGCGAGACGACGGCGCACACCTTCTTCACCACCACGCTGAGCACCACCCTGCTGTACTTCATCAACGCCCGGAGCTACCTCTTCCGCACCATGAAGTGACCAAGCGATGGGCGAGGTTTACGGCTGGGATGGGTGCATTGTGTGGGACCGACAGGGAGGTGGAGGGGCTTGGATATAACTGCTTCTCGTAGTTGCGTCTGTGGTCGTGCTACTGCTCAGCTTTCATGCCGCATCTCATAGAGTACGGCCATGACACGCATGGCCTCCGGGTCACGAACGGACCCGTGGCTTCTGGCTGTCATGTGTCGCTGCGATGAGGAAGGTGTGTTAGTGAGTCAGCAGTCGGTCGCGTTTTGACGTGTGCAGCAGGCACCGGTCGCTGTATCGATTCTCATGCTGGATTCAATTGTTGCGATGCCATTCCGTCTGCTAGCCTGTGTTGTTGGCGGATGATGCAATGGCCCGGGGTCATTAGCCGCCCTTGGTTTTTGCGTCTTCCTCACGCCACACAGGCCAGCAGGACGATTGGCGCGTGACATGCGGATGGAGTATGGTGTTTGTCTCGCTAGGTACGGCGAGAACAGAAAATGCATTGGTCTTCTTGTCACGACTTGCACTTCTGTCACGACCTGCACACGAGCGCATGAATGCTTGTGTTGTCATAGCGTAAGGAGGCAGCTGCGTGAGGTGAATCGAAGGGACTGCAACACGCGTGACAGCATGGTGCTCTGTGGTAATGTTCGTTAGACGCAAGCGTCCTGTGAAGTTCTTTGCGCTCTCCGAGCGCCGCTGTTTCTAGGCCATAACAGCGCCCTGGGCTGCAGACCCTGTCTCGCATAGATCTCAACTCGGTGATGGCTGTAGATCTATCCAAGCTCGCACTGTTTTGGGGGGTAATCGAAGCCACCGCAGGCCATGCAGCCGTACAGAGTGACGCTGACGCTCCCCCCTGCGTTCCTCATCGATGCCGTCACCGCCACAATGGAGGGCTCCCCGCCCTCCTGGCTCGTCAGCCTCGCATTCACTGTGGGCACTGCCGGTCAGTCGCGCAAACGACAGATCTATCCATCGTCCACACAGGACGTTGACATCCTTGCTGTGTCTGTGTGTGCGCGTGTGCAGGTGCCTTGATTGGAGGTCTTGCCTTGTGGAGTGCGGCAAGGAGGAGGGCTGCGCGCGCGGCTGAGCTGAAGGAGAGCAACAGCAGGGTCATCCTGCATCACTTCGGGCGTGGGACGTCGCCGCCGTGTGTCTCGTCTTCTCCGCCATGCCTCAAACTGGAGGCCTTCTGCAGACTCGCGCAAGTGAGAATGGTGCACCCACCAAGATCAAGCCAACACATGCGCTTGTGTGTGTGTGTGTGTGTGTGTGTGTGTGTGAGTTGTGCAGATACCGTACAGAATCGAGACGAGGGGCGGCCCATCGGCGAAGGTGAGTCATCACAGCTGAGACGAGTCGACTGGCGGCGTTGATCGATCTGTCTGCCGCTTGCCCATGTGCGCGTGTGCAGGGAAAGTGGCCCTGGATGACATGGCGCGGGGAAACCATCGCTGACTCCGGTCAGCGAGCAGGACCGAACATACACACACACGCCCGCCCGCCTCCCTCGCTTCTGATCTGATTCCTTTCCGTTTGGTGTTTGTCAGCCTTCTGCATCGAGCGGCTGACGAAGGACCTCGGCGTCAGGCTGGATGAGGGCCTTTCTCTCGAGCAGCAGGCGGCCGCATACGCCATCAGAAAGATGGTCGAGGAGAGCACCTACTGGTCAGCAGGAATCACACACTCACACCCACACCCACACCCACACCCACTCTCTGTCTGTCTGTCCCTCTCTCTCTCAGGACGGTTGCCTATGCGCGGTGGGTGGAGCACTTCGGTGTTTGCCGTAAGCAGGTCCTTCTCGAGTCGTCGGTCTTCATGGGTGGCGACCTGCCCTACTCCGTATGGCGGCCGCTGCATGGTCTGCTCATGCGCATGGCCCAGCCCGCCATCAAGAAGGCCCTACACGCACAGGTGGGTGGGGGAGGGAGGGAGGGAAGAAGATTGAGTCACTTCCATCCATCCACCGATTGCATGTCGTCTGTCTGTGTGTGTGTTGACAGGGGTTTGGTCGGTTCGATCGCCAGGAGCGCCAGCACATCATTGAGCAGGACCTCCTGGCGCTGGCCAACTACCTAGGTGAGTGAGCGGACCACGCTAGCTACACCCTCACACACAGACATGGTCAGCTACGTGAATCTGTCAATTGCTTGCTGGCCGGTTGATTGCAGGGGGCAAGCCCTTCATGATGGGCGACAAGCCGACAACGGTCGACGCGTGTGTGTTTGGAGAGCTGGCCCTCTGCGTGTGGCAACTGCCAGGCTCACACCACGAGCACCTGCTCACCAAAGACAAACGGTACGCACAGAGACACATCCACCCAGCGCAGCGCACAGCAAGCCTTCTCATGACTTGACAAGGAAGGACACATAACTGCCCTCCTCTGTGTGTTCATCAGGTTTGAGGCGCTGTATCACTACACTTTGCGGCTGAAGAACTTACTCTTTCCCGAGTGCTGGCCCAGGCCGCCCAAGACATACGACCCGCCAACGTGATAAATGTATGGGCGGATGCTTGTGTGCATCTAGAGTGTGAGGCAGAGCTGAGCAGCTCGCCGTGTGTCGGGTGGGTGTCTATGTGGGCGGCTGTCTGTCTGTCTGTCTGTGGACGGCGCGTGCGATGAATGGAATGAGATGACTGACTACTGTAGCGACCAGCAAATGTTGTAATCTGTCTGTCTGTCTGTCTGTGTGTCCGTCTGTCTCCCTGAGTACATGTATGTATTTGTGAAGACCCATCCAATTACACACGGGGGGCTGGACTGACACAATTTCTGGAAGACTGACTGACTGGGTTTTTTGCTTGCTTGGACTGTTGGTACTTTTATTGCACACTAAGTGGCTTTTGCATGAGGACAGCACGATAGATGGCAAATCTCGCCAACACACACACGCGCACACACCCGCCCGTCCACCCTGACATGCACTCATTGGGAGACACGAAACAGAAACGACAGCAAGGGCCCGGTTTCGGTGAAAAGCACGTCAAGCCTGTCGCCATGCTGCAAGGACAGCCGCTTGTCGGCCCCAACCGTCAACGGCTGATGCCCCTGCCTCAGTAGCCACACCTTCCTCCCTGCAGGGGCACTCGCATCTACTGCAAATGGCTGACCGGGGGCAGAGCATGTGAATACAAGGTGCTCTCGACTGATGGCCGTCACCACCTGAGCACACACACGCACAGAGACACGGGGGCGGGATCCATGAGTCAATAAGACAAGGAGACGCTTCCTTCACACCTATGGGACGAGGCAAGAAGTGAGGACATGCTCGTATGCGTCGCCCCCCCTGCCAAAAGGGGGAGGTGCCACGTGAGATCCGTCCTTCTTCCTCCTGAACAGGAGGAGCCGCTCCAGCTTGCGCGTGAAGTCCGTGTCCCTGCATCCCGCCTTGACGATGGCCGGCTCCACCAGCACCTTCATCATTGCCACAACCTTCTCCTCATCCATGAAGGCCACAAAGCTGCCGTGACGAGACCGCCGCTCGAGTGCATGTGCAGCATGGTTTGTGGAAGGCGCTGCTTCCGGAGCCTGAGTCTCATTGTGTGGGCTTGTTGTTGCTCTGGGAGGCCGAAAGACGGCGGCGATTGCGATGCCATTGCTGCTTGGAACGACTGGAGAGTACTCTGGAGCTGGCTGTGGAGGTCCTCTAGCCTCACAGCTGAAAGCGACCTCTCCGGCGACCTCTCTGTCTTGCGGTCTTGTCGCGGCGCAGGGCCTTCACCCACTGCAAAGCCAGTGTCTTGGGGCGGTGGCTCGTCGCCTTGCGAATATCCCCGATGACTTGCTTTGCTTTCGTCGTCTCTGATGATGGCCCCACGGCCGCTCATTTTGTCCTCGGAATGCGTCCGCCGCTTGTCTGGCTTTGCAGAAATGTCAGCCTCTTCCCTCTTGTCGTGGTCCTCTTGGCTCTCTTGCTCGGACAGGGAAGAATCCGCTGAGTACTCCGCTTCGGCCGCGTGTTGAAGGGAGCTGAACAGCGGAAGTGGGGCGCAGAAGGAATGCGAGCAGCCCATGGCTGGCGGTGGGACAGCACTACCGGGGAAAAAGTAGATTGTTTCCCCGGGTAGAGAGCGGTTTTCAGGCAGCGGTTTCACGGAATGCGAGCTCCGCCTTTTTCGATCCTGTGGGGGGATGAGTTCAGCGGACTGATGTTGACTTCTGCTGGAGAGCCGCAGCCAGCGCCTGTAGCAGCGCGTAGCAGCGCACATGGGTCAAGTGCCTCGGGCTGGACCCATGGCAATGACCGATTCTTGGGCCGATTTGGCTACCGAAACGGTACACATACATGCCCAGACAAGAAGCGAATAATGGCCAGCATCCCTCATCTCCATCACCATCTGCTGCTTCATGTGTGGCCCATTGAATGGCAGGTCTTTGAGTGTGTCTGCGAGCGCGCCAGGCCGGGCGACGAGCTGTTCGTCGTTGGCGAGAGTAAGAACCTTGGCGGATGGGAGGTCGACAAGGGTGTGCGGCTGGACGGCACGAACCACCCTTTGTGGCGAAGCGCTAAGGTGCCTCTGCCGGTCGATCTGCCCATCTGGTTCAAGCTTGTACGACGAGTGCGCAATGGACGGCATGACTGGGAGCCAATCGATGGTGTGTGGAGATGACAGACGACGATGTCTTCTGGATGGATGGATGGATGCTTCTTTGTGGCGATGCATGGTCAGGCAACCGGCTCATGAAACTCTCCGAGGTGCACAGTAAGTTGGTCACCGTCAAATGTGTATTCGGTGAGTGGGGATACAGCCAGCCAGCCAGCCAGCCACACCTCACACACGCGAAGACCCTGTACGTTGGTTGCGTCGATGTGTGTGGCCACACCTGTTGCTGCTTTATAGGCGAGGAAGGTGTGACACTTGAGTCCGTCGCTGGCGATGGCGGGCGGGAGGCGTCCGCCATGGCTGCATCTGCATCTGTGACGGCTGGCCGCGCGAGTAGCACATACACACGACGGCAGCAGCAAACAGACCACGACGGTGCGTGGCATCGAGCGGACACATGTCGAGTGACAGAGAGGTTCTATGGTGGTGCGGTGTGTGTGTTGTTGCTTGCCTTGTTCAGGCGGTGCACGCCACACGGCGTCACCCGCTGCTGGAAGGACTACTGCAGAATCTGTTGTCGCACAGAAGGTGAGCAAAGTAGGAAACACAGTCACACACTCATCGCAGCCTGACATACTGACTCTGTATGTGCAGACGAATGTGGGTGAGGATAGGCATGACACTACAATGGACCGTCACACACACACCGAAGGTAAGACCCTCCACGCCACAACCAGGCAGACAGTACACGTAGCTGTATGCATCATCCCTGCGTGTTTGCCTGCAGGGCCGCTGGCTGAGGGCTTTTCAGCCATTCCGACTCTTCCGGCCACCGACAACGCCGCACACTGCGTCGCCAGGACCTACTGGAAGTCCCCCCCAGCAGACCCGCAATCGCCGCCGATGAGCCAGTCGCCACTTACACATCAACAGCCGCAGCAGCAGGAGGCTGGGGGCGCGAGGGTCAAGAAGAAGAACAAAGTCAACAACGTGGGGATTCAGCCCACGCAGCCACACCCTGGACCCCTGATGCCGCCCCACCACCAGCACCCACAGAATAAGGATCATTACCGTCCTGCTGCATCCATCGTCCCCACCGGCAGCCCCATCCCCCGCAGCACCGACCAGCCACAGCCCCCCTCCCCTGCAGCACTCACACGCCCAGCTGGGAGCGGTATCGATGTCACAACCCCCTCCTCGTCTTCATTCGACCTGGACGCCATGTACCGATTCGCCATCGACGGCGAGAACGTCTTGGATGCCTACAACGGATGGCTGCAGTGCCTGAAGGCCAATGTAGGCGGCCGGGGCGGCGGTATGTTGGCTGTGGAGGCCAAAGAGAGTGTCGAGAAGGGGCCGAGGGGCGGCTTTGAGCATACCATCGAGTGGACGATGACGGGGCGGGTCAACCAGACGATTGCGGTGAGTGAATGGAAGAGCGGATGAGAGGTGTAGGAAAGGGTGATGTATTCTTTGCTCTCTCTCTCTCTCTCTGTGTGTGTGTGTGTGTGTGTGGTAAGTGCAGGTGGTTGGCGAGGGCGCCAACGAGTACGAGGCGCGTCGTGATGCGGCGAGGCAGGTGCTGCAGAGGACATGGCGCATGCAGGGGTGCGAGCCCGACACCGAGGAGCTACCCCTGCTGACCCGCCGTATGGCCAACCGCCTCCGTAATCGGCTGAGGGCAAAGGGCAGCATTGCCCTCAGCCACACCAGCAGAGGGCAGCACGAGTGTCGTGTCCAGTGGCGCATCCCCACGGCAGACGAAGAGCTGGAGCTGGAGGGGCGCGGCCATGGTCCGGCGGCGGAAGATGCCGCGGTGCAGGCGCTCATGAACGTCTACATGCAGGCTTGCCAGGTGGCTGAGTGGGTGGCTGACTGGGAGAGGCCCAAGATCCCCCACCCAAGGCCCCCAAGGAGCCTGTGGCGCCACAGCCACAGCCCGCGTCGCAGCGTTCGAGTATAGGCATGGGCGGAGGGCATGTCGAAGAGGGGCAAAAGCAGAGCGGGCCCAAACCTGCAGCAGCAGCAGCAGCAGCAGCGGAGGGAGAGGGCGACATTGACGAGTTTGCCGAGTTGGAGGTGGCATGGAGGAGCGGCGCTGGGGGTGGCGACGGGGAGAGTAACAAGGAGGAGAGGAAGAAGATCGAGGCCGATCGCCTGTCAGACGAAATGTGTGACAAGAATCGCATTCGGGAGGCGCTTTCGCGTCACAGAGAGGTCCGTCAGACAGCCAGCCAGCCGGCTACCAAAGGAGGCCAGCAGATGATGGCACACATACAGAGATGATGGTGTCTTTCTCTCTTTCTCTCCCTGTATGTGTGTGCAGGTGCAAGAGGAGGGGCGCAAGGCCAAGGTCGAGACGGCAGGGGCGTGCCGGCTGGCCAAGGTGTCCTCTCTGGGCGCTCGCAGTGTCCCTACAGCGGGGCTGGACGAGAGGGCACTTCGCTTCACGCCACCACCTGACGGTCTGCCGCCCACACCCCCTCCCAAATCATCGTCTCCGTCAACACCTGGCATCCCCTTCCCGGGCCCTCTCCCCCGTGTGTCATCCGCCGCCCCACGCATCCCATCGGCCGGCAGCCATCCGGAGGCCGTCTTGGTCAGGCGCCCACAGGGCCCAGTGGAAGGAGCGACGGCGCACACCAGCCTCGAGGGATTTACCCTCTATCCCAGAAGCGGCGCGTACCACATCGAGTGGTGCGGCAGGGCAGGGGGGAGAAATGTCCGACGAGAACTGACCTGGTCAGAATCGACCTCTTCACTTGGAAGGATGACTTCTACGGGAATGACGCGAGAGCCAAGTGCCCTGGGCTGGAGTGTTTTGTGGGGGTACAACCTCAGTTCGTCTCTGAGGCCCTTGAGGAGATGCGTGAGGACGGCCTAAGGTGGATCTACATGCCGTCGCTGAGCCTCTACCTGGAGCTCCGGCTGCTGGCCATCCTGCCAGCTGCCGACCCTTTGCCAGCGGTGCCACTTCTGCACCCTTCCCGTCCCCCACCCCCTCCGCCCCACACGCCCCACGGACAACACCACGGATCCCACGCTGCAGCCCCGAATGCAGCCGGTTGGAGGGGCGGTGCTGTGGCCGTCTCAAGCGCAGTGCACACGGCTACCCCCTGGCGAACAGGCCCGCCCCAGCCACCTACCGTCCCACCACCATCTCTCCCTCCACAGTTTCGTGGGCTGACGGAGGGGGCCAGGCCAGCTGGCCGGTGGGGCGATGCCGGCAAGGGCAGGCACCCACCGCCCCCACCTCCACCACCCCCTCCGCCCCCGCCAGATACCGCGCACAATGCCACGGCTGCTCGTGGGTAAGCGAAGGAAGAGGTGCATGCCGCCCTTCGATGCCCCACACTCCTTGGTGCTGTCCGTGTGGTGTGCAGGCCTGCGGACCCGTATCTCGAGTCTGAGCTGAAGCGCGAGAGAGAGGCGCACCGGAGGGAGCGAGAGGAGCTGAGGCAGCGGCTCCAGCAGCTCGAGGAGACTAATCGCAGGTGAGAAAGAAAGACACACAAGCATCATGTCATAGTAGAACCAGACCATGGCGGCTGTGGTTGGTTCAGGCTATCTGCGCTGGGTATCCAACAGCACCAGCCGTCCTCAAGGGGCCCTCCTCCACCCAATCACCCACAATCACAGCCACAGCCACTGCAGCCGGCCGGCATCAGTGGGGCTGACACCATCGTGGCAGGCGGGTGCATCATCTGTTTCGGCGAGCACGGCCCCGCGTCCATCATGTACGTCCCCTGCAGACACATGCACATCTGCCCCAAGTGCTACGACGACCGCAAGGACGCCTGGCAGCGGGGCCTCCCCCGAGTGAAGGCCGACAACGCCCGTCGTCAGGAGGAGAACAGGGCGCGGATCAAGCGAGATCAGGAGCCGCTGGAGCTGCGGCCGGAGGGCTACCTGTGCGAGCAGTGCCAGGGGGAGGTCGTGTTTGCCGGGTCGATGGAAGAAGTGAGTCGCTGGATGCGCCCGTTCGTGTCCCATGCACAGGACTGACTGACTGACTAAGGATAGCAGGCGGGCAGTAAGTAATCAGACAGTGGGGAAGGGCATGTACATAATCCTCCATATATATCTGTGGGTGTGAGTACTGAATACGTTTGGCTGGTTTCTGTGTCACGTATCGATGGGCTGCGGCTCAGCCAGACTCTCGTGGCTGCGCTGATACCCCACGACAGCCACGAGAGAGAGAGAGAGAGAGAGTAGACGGTGGTGGGCACTGAGTGAGTTGAAGGTGGGTGCTGTGTTCGCCTGTATAGATCGGCTGTTTCCGCATCATGTAGTTCATCAGCAGGTGCCGGTCCAGTCACGAGCAATGTGGCTGCGTGCTGCCGCCTGGCGACGAGTGGCATGATGCAGAGACAGCGATAAAAGACAGATTGGGTGGCTTGCTATGAGAGAGAGAGAGGCAACCACATACCATTGCCGGGTTGGTTTTCGTCTGCATGGCTGTTTCTGCTTCAAGTAGTTGGTCGTTGCGAGGCTGTGGGTCAGCCACATTCTCGTGGCTGTTTGCTGCCGCGTCGCAACGAGCGACCCGATGAAGGATCAGCCATTCAGGCGGACTCGTCCTAGCAAAACAAGACCGACAAGTGTGTCTGTCTTGATCGAGCCGAGAGAGTCTGTGCATGTCTATCGTTAACCTTAGGGGGTCGCTGAGAAGGCGAAAAGGGGTGAGGG